CCTGCCTCAGCCTCCTCAGTAGCTGGGACTACAGGCACATGCCACAACACCCATCTAATTGTAAAATTCTTTGTAGAACGGGGGTCTTGCTGTGTTGCTTGGGTTGGTCATGAACTCCTGGCCTCAGGTGGTCCTCCCTGCTTAAGCTCCAGCCATGAGCCACTGCACCCAGCCTTAACTTTGTTGTTGTTGTTGTTGTTTTGAGACAGAGTCTCACTCTATTGTCTGGGTTAAAGTGAGATGGCATTAGCCTAGCTCACAGCAACCTCAAACTCCTGGGCTCAAGCGATCCTTCTGCCTCAGCCTCCCGAGTAGCTGGGACTACAGGCATGCGCCACCATACAAGACTAATTTTTTATATATATATATATTTTTTTATTGGCCAATTAATTCTGTTTATAGTAGAGACGGGTCTGGCTCTTGCTCAGGCTGGTTTTGAACTCCTGACCTTGAGCAATCCACCCACCTCAGCCTCTCAGAGTGCTAGGATTACAGGCGTGAGCCACATGCCGCGGCCTTAACTTTGTTTTTAAAAGCAGAATTAAATGACTTAATTTATTTGTAGGAGTTAATATCTAATATGTACATATGGACTATCCAAGCAAAGTATTAAGAATATCAGTTCAATCAGTATGGCGTTGAATATAACAAGTCAAACTCTGGTTGCTTTCTAAAATTTCAAAGTGATCTAGTTTCCTTTGAGGAAGAACTGGGATAAAAGAAGAGGAAAAAAATAAAGTGATCTAGCATCTCAGTTCCCCCAAATTTGGATCCTGTAATGTAATAATTCATTTCTGGAACAGAATTGTATTGGTAAACTTTTTTTTTTGAGACAGAGTCTCGCTTTGTTGCCCAGGCTAGAGTAAGTGCCGTGGCGTCAGCCTAGCTCACAGCAACCTCAAACTCCTGGGCTCAAGCGATCCTCTGTCTTCAGCCTCCCAATAGCTGGACTACCAGGCATGCGCCACATGCTGGCTAATTTTTCTATATATATTAGTTGGCCAATTAGTTTCTTTCTATTTATAGTAGAGAGCGGGTCTTGCTCTTGCTCAGGCTGGTTTCGAACTCCTGACCTCGAGCAACTCCGCCGCGCTCTCGGCCTCCAGAGAGCTAGGATTACAGCGTTGAGCCACCGCGCCCGGCTCATTGGTAAACTTTTATTATTATTTATTTTTGTAAGAACATGTTCTTAATAATGCATTGGTAAACTTTTAATTCCTGTGCATTTATCTTTGACATAAATCCTTTCTTGGCGTATCACACCCATAAATTTATAGGTGGATGAGTCTCAGAGTGACGTAAAACTGAAAAGCTTGAACTTAAAATTTTGCAGAAGAGTATTGACAGGTTATCAGAGATAATATATGTGCTCAATAGCATACATAATGTGCTTTTGAACTTCCAAAAACCACCGATGAAAGATGGTCCTGTTGGGCGTCTGACAGAAAGTGGGCAGTGTATCCAGGAAAGGGGGATGCTGGCTGCTGGGTCCTAGTTCACAGTTGTAATCCTAGCGCTTTGATACCAAGGTGGAAGGATAACTTGAGCGCAGGAGTTCAAGACCACGCCGGCAACAAAAAAACTAAAAATTAACTGGGTGCGCTAGTAGTTCCAGCCACTTAGAGGCTGAGGCAGAAGGATCACTTGAACTGAGGAATTTGAGGTTGCCATGAGCTATGATGCACCCACTGCACTCTAGTCTGGGCAACAGAGCAAGACCCTGTCTCAGAAAAGAAGGGGGAGGGTCCTGAGGTATCATGTTAGGGTAGACCTAGAAATTAAAGGAAACAACACTGGCAGATAAAAAAGAAGAATGAAGAATGTCTAGAATAGGCAAAACCACAGAGACAAAGATCAGTGCTTTCCAGTGGCTGAGGGGTGGCAGAATGGCAAAACAGCACTAAAGGTACGAGTTCGTTTACGGAATGATGAAATATGTTGTAAATTAAGATTATGATAATGGTTGGCACACACTATTGAATTGTATATTTCAAGCAGGTAAACTTTCTGGTTTGTAAATTATATATAATAAACTATTTTAAAAAGTAATGAAGAGGCCGGGTGCGGTGGCTCATGCCTGTAACCCAAGCACACTGGGAGGCCAAGGCGGGCCGATTGCTTGAGTGTCAGGAATTCGAGACCAGCCTGAGCGAGAGCGAGACCCCGTCTCTACTATAAATAGAAATAAATTAATTGACCCAATTAAATAATGTATAAGAAAAAATTAGCGGGCAGGTGGCGCATGCCTGTAGTCCCAGCTACTTGGAGGCTTGAGGCAGGAGGATGGCTTGAGCCCAGGAGATTGAGGTTGCTGTGAGCTAGGCGATGTGCCATGCACTCACTCTAGCCTGGAACACAAAGCGAGACTCTGTTTCAAAAAAAAAAAAAGCTGGGCGTGGTGGCTCACGCCTGTAATCCTAGCCTTTGGAGGCCGGGAGCGGCGGGATTGCTCAAGGTTCAGAAGTTCGAAACCAAGCCTGAGCGAGACCCCGTCTCTACCAAAATAGAAATAAAAATTGACCAACTAAAATATATTATATCAAACAAAATTAGCCGGGCATTGGTGGTGCATGCCTGTAGTCCCAGCCACTCGGGAGGCTGAGGCAGGAGGATCCTGAGACCCTGGAGATTTGACCGCGTGCTGTGAGCTAGGCTGCGCACCGGCACTCCACCTAGCCTGGGCAACAAAGTGAGACTCTGTCTCAAAAAAAAAAAAAAAAAAAGTAATGAAGAGTAGCAATGAAAATGGATGAATGTGGGAAAGAATCAGTAACATAAAAAGGAAAAATGACTAGAAAGAGGAAGACTTTGTTGGCAAATTTAAAAAAACGTGAGTAATAAGTTACAGCCTCAGAGGCTCAGAAGGATAGTGCCCGTGTGTGGCGGAACAGTGAAGGGAAAGAACACCATCCTGGGCAGTGGGAGAACTGGGTTCCAAACTCAGCTCTGCTGTTATTTTATCCCATCAGTGACCCAAGATGGACCCTCAGCTTACCTAGGCCTTGGCTTCCCCACTTTTAAGATGAGTGGAATCACACTGGGGTCATTTGTTCCACTAACTTTTTTCAAAAACATCTGTATGCCAGGCATGGGGCTAAGGCTACAAATATTAATAAGAGGCACTATCTTCCTCTTTTGATTAACTCATTCTAGTAGTGAAACAGACATATAAATAAATTGTAAATTACAAGTACACAAATATCATTTGGCTTTGTGGCATGTCATTAAATATTCTTCAAACTTGTGATTTTTAATGGCTGTTTTAATAGTCTCATAGATATGCTATACTTTATCAAACCATTCCTCTAATAATGGGCATTTGTTTTTGGTTTTTCACCATCATAAGTAATAGTGATGAACATTCTTATTCATTAAATCTTTATCCAAAGGAGGAAGTAATATCCAAAGACCAAGTATATGATTAACTAAAATTAGAAATTCATCCATAAATGCTTAGATAAATACAGAAGAGGGAGAATTATTATATCCATCTGGCAAGACCTCTCAGAGATACAGTTTGAACTGAGCCTTGAAGGAGAATGTTTAGACAGGCATGATGAAACGAAAGTTGAGGCAAGATCAGGGCGTAGGAAGATTTGTCAAAATGGATGCTGAAGTGCTTTTGCAAAACATCCAGAGAAGAGATGAAAAAGAAACTAGTTAGCTAAGTGTTAAATCATTGTGTGGGAGAGTGTCTTAGTGGATATTTTAGACTTAAAAAATGAAGGTTATCGAGAGATGACTGAACAACATTGTTGGAGGAGGGACTCAGAAATAATTACCATGCTTAGATACCCTTTTCTCTCATGTTGAGAAAAGAGAAAGTAGTTTCTGTTATAGAGGTTCGCAGAGGAAAAGATGTTTTAGGAGAAATCTGGGTTTCATCTTGGGTAAGGTGGTGAAAGAAGGTTGAGGAAGCTCAAGGAAGAAAAGGAATTTGGTCTGTTTTCACAGATGGAATGTGGGTTCTACTGGGTATTTGATGTTCTCCAACTTTAGTACTAAAAGGCTTTTGCAGATATTGATGAATCATTAAGTGTCCTCTCAACAGTAATGATGTTGCTTCCATGATCTTGGAAGGTCTTACACCTTCCCTCCTTCCCATAATTTCTGCTGCTTTCTTGACCTCTCCTTTCCTCCTGATTGAGATTATTTTCTTTTTCTTGTCATGTCTCCTGTCTGGAAACATTTGCCTGTTAGCAAATGGCTAATACAGCCTTGGTGTATTGTTTTTCTATTGCTGCCCTAACAAAAATACCACAAATTTAGCAGCTTAAGTCATGTAAATTTATTATTTTTCCATTGTGTAAGTCAGAAATCCAACATTTATCCCTGAGCTAAAATGAGGGTATCAGCGGGGCTGCTTTCCGTTCTGGAGGCTCTAGAAGAAGATCTGTTTCCTTACTTATTGGGTTGTTGGCAGAATTCTGTTTCTGGTGGTTCAAGGACTGAGATCCATGTTTCCTTGCTGTCAGCTGAGGGCTGCTCCCAGCTTCTAAAAGTCACTCATCCTTTGGCTCATGGCCCCCTTCCTCTACCTTCAAAGCCAGCAATGGCAGGTGGAATCCCTTTCACACCTCATATCTCTTTCCCTTCTTTTGTATCATTTTTACCCCCTTCCTCTGCCTTTCTCATCTACATTGATGAACTTGTGATTAGATTGGGCCCCATTAGATAACCCAGGATAAATCCTGGGATGTCAAGGTCCTTAACTTCATTCACATCTGCAAAGTCCCTTTTGCTACGTATGACACATGCTCACAGGTTCTGGGGATTAGGACATAGACGTCTTGGTGTGGCCATTATTCTCTGCTGACCACACTTGGTAGGAAGTTCAGCAGATCTCCTTTAAGCAGCTGTGCTCCTAAGAAACTTTTCACTTTTCCCTTCCAGTCCCATTTGTACTTTGTTTATTTTATTCCTCTTTGTCAGCATAGAGGGTGTATGTGTCTGTGTTTGGAGTGACATTAATCCTGAACATTAGTCTCTCTTTTTACCAGATATGTCTTGTCGTTCAAGACTCGCAACCCTAAACGAGAAATTGACAGCCCTTGAACGGAGAATAGAGTACATCGAAGCACGGGTGAGTGTGATGGGCAAGGGCTGTCCAAGAGAGAATGCATATTTCCACTTACTGCTGGAAAAAGCCTGAAAGCAGAAACAGGCTTAGAGAAGTTAAGTACCTGGCTGGGATTCAAACCAGGTTTTTCATGACTCTAAATCTATCTTCTTTTCTGTCATTTCTCACTGCCTAGGACCTTAATTAAGATTATTTTTAGATGTCTTTAATCTTTTTGAATTTATCTAAATGTTAATTTTTCTTTCACAGGTGACAAAAGGTGAGACACTCACCTAGAAGTATGCCATGCTGCTGCTGGGAAGTTGCTTGACAGAAAGCAGGCCCCGTGGGAAAGGCCCCAGCAGCCTTCAGCTCCTTCCTTTCTCCTTAAAGAGCAACAGGGTTTATTCTCGTTTTTCTTTTTTCAAAAGTGTGGCCTTTGGGCTCTGCCATATGCCTCTGGGGTTGTGATGTGGCTTGTGGGAAGAAGTCTGGGGACTCTTGGAAACAACATTAGGCATTTTACCTTTTCAGTAAAATTTTATAGGACAATTTGTGGATGTATTTGAGGTGTTTAGAGCCAAAAGCCTGGAACTCTTTGTGAAGGTTCTCACCACGTCTCTCTCTCTGCCTCTCAGGCTCCCCTCACACCTCTCATTGCTCTGCACTGAACCTATAAACAGTCTTTTTCTTCTCCCCACCTTCAGTGGGAGGCGGGGTTAGTCCTGGCCGAGGCGCTCATGGCCTGGCAGTATGGCTGCCAGAGAATGCTGTTGCTAACCCACCAGTTTCTCGTCATTTGGGGGAGGTCAAGGCCAGGCCCCCACTTGGCTTGAAGGGATATTTTCAGAGTTTTCTTTCTGTCTCTTGGGGTGTCTGTGCCTCATGCTTCCCTAATAAACTCCTCAACTTCGTCTGACTCCTGTGATTGTGGTGGGGAAACGAGCCATAGATGGGCTCACCTGTTCCACAGAAACGTGGTGTCTGGGATTACTATTCTAACGTAAAACTTCCAGATGTAGCTGTTTGATTTAAAGCCTGAGGGGCTTACCAGCCCAAGCCCCCGTGTTTAGACTTTCAGCTGATTGATTCACCCTGGGAATCATTGAGTCATTGAGCAGACATTTGCCAAGTGCTTATTAATACTATGTAGGCATGTTATCTTCCAATAAAACATACAGCATTAAACCAGGCATGATGCTTACAGTCTGTTGAAATACTAGCATCCACATAATTTAGCTGCAATCCAGGACAGACTGTTAGGTTTATAAGGTACAAGATAAATGTATACTTTGTTTGAAAAGCAAATAACTTAAACAGAAGTCTAAAACTTTTCATTCTTTTATTTTTTTTTTAATTTTTTTTATTTCTTTATTTTTTTTTTCCATTTTCAGTTGGCCAATTAACATTTTTTTTTTTTATTTTTAGTAGAGACGGGGTCTCGCTCTTGCTCAGGCTGGTCTTGAACTTCTGAGCTCAAACGATCCACCCGCCTCGGCCTCCCAGAGAGCTAGGATTACAGGCGTGAGCCACCTCGCCCGGCCAACTTTTCATTCCTGTATCCAAAGTATAATATAAACCTGTGTCAACCTAATTCTAAAGGCTTGTCTGCTATATAGAATCTCCATTTTAGTCACACAGAAGTCATTATGGTCTATACACACTAATTTCCCCCTATTCAAATCATATTTGCCATTCAAAGTCTAGCTCAAGTCAAACCTACAGAAAGTTCTCCTGGACTTTACTTTTTCTTTTCTTTTTATTTATGTATTTATTTATTTTTATTTTACTTTTTCATTGAGTACTGCCCTTTTAATTTTATTAGTTCCTCTCATCCTACCGTACTAACACTGTGCTTCAGCTCTGGATTTGATCTTTTTTTTGAGACAGAGTCTCGCTTTGTTTCCCAGGCTAGAGTGAGTGCCGTGGCGTCAGCCTAGCTCACAGCAACCTCAAACTCCTGGGCTCAAGCAATCCTACTGCCTTAGCCTCCTTAGTAGCTGGGACTACAGGCATGCGCCACCATGCCCGGCTAATTTTTTCTATATGTATTAGTTGGCCAATTAATTTCTTTCTATTTATAGTAGAGACGGGGTCTCGCTCTTGCTCAGGCTGGTTTCGAACTCCTGACCTCGAGCAATCCACCTGCCTCGGCCTTCCAGAGTGCTAGGATTATAGGTGTGAGCCACTGTGCCCGGCCTGGATTTGATCTTGTTATGAATTACTCGATAATTTAGCATATCCATCCTAGGATATACATGAGCATCTTTTTCTGTGCTGCCCAGCTGGGTGCCTTGCAGAAGGCATGTAGTCAGTAGATACCAGTTGAACTTCCTTACAGAGCTTAAGCTGCTTTGCACTCTCCTGTCTTTATAGAACCCCCGCTTAAACCTTTTGGAAGACCATTTTAAGTAGCACCTCCATTTAACAATAGGATCTTATAGTGGAGACAGCTGACATCCTTTACTGTGGTAAGTGCTGTTTTCAACATTTTTTAGCTCATCTGTAGAGTGCTTTCAACACTTTCTTGAGTTCATTATTCATGATATCTCCCCTATCCTCTCCAGGATAAAAAAAGTAAACACTTATTAAAGTGTAAGTTTTAGGTTACCTGGTGCTCTGCCATCATGAATTTAACAGCCACTGCCTTCTTGCTATATGCAAGGAGTATAACATGAGATAGTATAGTAATAGAGGCAAAAGTAATGGTAACCTGTATAGATAGGAAAAGCCCTTCTTTTCATGAGATTACACATGGAAATGCTCGATAAATTTTTATCAGCTCATAGATATTAATTTGTTAATTTATTGGTATTAGAGTAATGAATATTTCTAAAAGAATTAGTATTCTAAATAATACCATGTTGTTAATGGTAACCTGCTGGTTGGAAAGAGAGCAACTGATAACATTTGCTGTGGGAAGCCAGTGATGCTGGCCGCCTCTAGCAGCAGAAAATCCTTTGTGTTACATGGTGCTTTAATGTGTCAGAGTGCTTTCCTGTGTTCTTGCCCCCTTTTTAAATGAGGCCCTGGCACTCAGGGATGTATAGCTGGTAGTAATATCTGTAATTTATTGAGTGTTATAATGTCCTAAGTGCTTTATGTACTTTATTTCATTTAATCCTCAGAGGAACCCTATGAATTGGGCACTCTTATCTTCATGTGGTAGGTAAGGAACAAGTTCAGAAAGGGCTAAAACTTACCCAAAGTCATACAAAGTAAAGGAAAGTATTGGGTCTAAATCCAGAACCTGACTCAGACTTTGGTAACCATTTTTCTGTTTTGAATGTGGTGACCAGATCTGAAACTGATTTTCTCATTCCTAGTCCAGTGTCTTTCAGTATACTCACATTAGACACTTTAAAGCGATTACACGCCAATGTTAGAATCACATGCCTCTTCACCATCATTTAGTAAAGAAGGTTTTGTGGGTGTTCCTTGCTGTATCGGGAAAAGACTGTTTACACTGATTGTCTGAGCTGTCTAATTTCACTTCTATCAGCTTTCTTTCTCTGAAGATTTAACTGTATGTTATATTTTTCTGAAAGCCTTGCTTAAGGAATTTAATCCATTCTAGCTCTTTCTCTAGCTATCTCTAGGTTAGAGATGCTTCTGGAGCCAAAAAAGCAGCTATACCCCCCTTTGGAAAGGCCTTACTTGGTCAGGCTTCAGGAACTGAGATTTTATTCTTAGTCACACATCTTTGCTCACAGCTCCTTGCAGTCCAGAAATAGCGTTAGGCTAAACCACATTTATTCTGTCCCCAAGGTGAGATTTCTTCAACTTAATGCAGTTCTGGAATACTAACACTTTACCCTCACTGAAGATGATAAAATTACATTTTACATTTTTTTGATCTAGGTTTGCTGAATCATTCTATCTTTTTTAAATAAAAAAAAAAAACATTATAATGCTTAATCTTTAAAACAAAGCTAAAATGTTGCCAGAATGATTATTTGTTTTTTTTTTTTGGTTTTTTTTTGAGACAGAGTCTCACTTTGTTGCCCAGGCTAGAGTGAGTGCCGTGGCATCAGCCTAGCTCACAGCAACCTCAAACTCCTGGGCTCAAACAATCCTCCTGCCTCAGCCTCCCAAGTAGCTGGGACTACAGGCATGCACCACCATGCCCGGCTAATTTTTTCTATATATGTATTAGTTGGCCAATTAATTTCTATTTATAGTAGAGACGGGGTCTCGCTCTTGCTCAGGCTGGTTTCGAACTCCTGACCTCGAGCAATCCACCCGCCTCAGCCTCCCAGAGTGCTAGGATTACAGGCGTGAGCCACCGCGCCCGGCCTGATTATTTGGTTTTGAACTCTAAAGAGACTAAGTTTTAGAGTGGCTAAAGATTCAGAAATCTGGCCGGGTGTGGTGGCTCACGCCTGTAATCCTAGCACTCTGGGAGGCTGAGGCTGGCGGATCGCTCGAGGTCAGGAGTTCAAAACCAGCCTGAGCAAGAGCGAGACCCCGTCTCTACTATAAATAGAAAGAAATTAATTGGCCAACTAATATATATAGAAAAAATTAGCTGGGCATAGTGGTGCATGCCTGTAGTCCCAGCTACTTGGAGGCTGAGGCAGGAGGATGGCTTGAGCCCAGGAGATTGAGGTTGCTGTGAGCTAGGCTGACGCCGCGGCACTCACTCTAGCCTGGGCAACAAATCGAGATTCTGTCTCAAAAAAAGAAAAAAAAGATTCAGAAATCTGTACCCAGATTTTCTGAATTCAAATTCTTCTTAGTTGCCTCACCATAATGAAAAATTGGATTGAATTCTTTTACTTCTTCCCAGGTTAGATGATCTAGAGAAGTTACCCACATTTTGCCTCTCTGCCTTTCCTCATAAAACCTTAATGGTTTCTGAAGAAAGAATCCTGAAGGACTTTAATGTTTTCTAGTGTAAGTGGGAAATGAGTTCAATATTAAAAATCTTGTGAGTGAAAAAATGAGCTAAATTTAAAAATTTTCTCTTGCCATTCATAGGAACCTTCAAGAGAACTTCTTCATTCCTTTATACTCAAAAATTTTTACCCTATAATTTGGTTTAACTCATTTGTTGAAAAACTAAACAGCAAGGATTTTGAACCAGTGAGCTATTATATATAGATTTTAAGTCTCTTGATAAAGAAATTTTTGATCTGTCTTTAAAAACTAACCTTGAACTAGATTTCAGAAGCAGAAAAAAATAGGGAGCTGATTGTTTGGCATTACATAAGTACCCAGTTCTATCATTCTGTTCTTATTACTCAAACCTTGAACTACCCACGTTTATTTCACCAAGCTAAAGACATATACTACAGGTCGAGTATGCTTAATCTCAAAATCCAAAATCCGAAATGCTCCAAAATCCAAAACATTTTGAGAGCCAACATGGAGCTCAAAGGAAATGCTCCTTGGAGCATTTAAGATTTGGGATTTTGGACTAGGGATGCTCAGCTGGTAAATATACATAACGCAGATATTCCAAAATCTGAAAAAAGTCCAAAATTGGAAGCACTTGTGTTCCTACGCATTCCAGGTAAGGACACTCAACCTGGCCTACAAGCCACACTGAATGGTGATGGAAAGCCTCTTGTCCGCCTCTGGAGTCCTTCCCAGCATTCGCACTCAGTTTCATTCTGCTGCCTGCAAAAAAAGGTTGGCCCTGCTTTCCTCTGGAGAATGTGCTTTAGGAGACTTGCTTTGGCAGTTTGCAGACAGTTGCTGCCATTGATAACTACAAAAATACAGCTGATTTCTCAGGGTGTTATGGATGTCAGGTAGGTTCTCCAAGAAAATCAGATTGACTTAGGGCTCTTGAGTTTATTTTCTAAAGAAAAGCCGCCTTGTACATTAAGTTGTCAAAAGGTTGGGATTAGCAAGAGTTAAAACTCATAGAACATTAGGGTGGAAAAGAATCTTAGAGATAATCTAGTCTGCTCCT